GGCCGCGGCCTGGGGCCCGCGCCCGCAGCCGCCTCCCACCGCCCACAGCTCCCAGGCGGGTTGCCGCCTCTGCTGCCTCCATCCAGCTGGAAAGCAGCTCTGCCCAGCAGAGGGGGGCGGGCAGAGCTAGGAGGAAGCCGGAGCCCCGGCAGTGCAGTGGGCGCTCCCCTCGGAGCACTTACCTGGCCTAGCTCCCCATGCGGTGCTGGCAGGGCCACTCCGGCTAGCCCTGCTCCCGCCGAGTGAGGAGCGCCAGGCCGCCCTGCCCGCCCTCCCGGCTCCCTGCAGAGGGAACGCCCCTTTGGCAGCCAGCACTTGTGGGTGGGGCTGGGCTCCACGGAGCCTCCCTGGGGAGGACGCAGCACAGCGACAGGACAATGGGAACCAGCACAGCACGGCCCGCCTCTCCTGCCCGTGGTCAGCACGCTTCCTGTGGCTTGTCCACGGCTTGCTCTCCAGGGGCTCAAGGCCAACGGCGCCCTGACACCTGGGCTCTGGCCGAGGTTAGTTTGGGAAAGTGACACAGACAACCCAGACCTGACAGGAGAGAGGGTGGTGGGAGGCAGGGCTGCCCGCCCGGCCCCGGACCCTGGGAAGGATACATGGCCGAGACCCACGGGCTGGTGGACGCGCTGACAAAGAAGCAGGACAGGCTCCACACGGCCATGGCCACCGGGGTCCTCTGCGTGAAGTTGGAGAGGGACAGCATGACCCAGTCCCGGACCATGGACGACTGCCCCGTGCTGTGCAGCGTCTGGAAAACCTGAGGAGAGGCCAGAGCTCAGCGGGCACGGGGGGGGGGCACCCTTTCAACAGGCAACCGTGCTGGCTTCAGGGGCAGGAGCCAGGCCGCTGGCCAGTCCACTGGTCAGCACGTCCAGGTGGCAAGAGACGTCCAGGCTTCTAAGCCGGTCAGCCGGCTCAGGCTGGGGTGCCCCGTCCTCCCTGGGCGCCAGGCCTCACCTTGTACACCACGGTGGCCATGAACTGCGGGTAGGGCTGCTGGTTGGACAGGAACTCCCCGATGACTTTGTTCATGACGTCTTGCGGAGGGAAGAAGTCATCTAAAAACTGAGGGAGGATCCTCGCCACAACGCGGGCTTCACAGGGAAACCCCTTCCTGATCCTGGAAGGAGGGTTCCAGTCAGCCCTGCCCCCCATTCCCCGCTGGGACCTTCGGAGACTTTCCAGGCGGGTCTCCAGGGGGCACCTAGAATGTTAACTGGGACCTCACGAGTGACCCACAGACAAGCACCCAGGCTTGGGGCTCCCCTCCCACACGAGGTCACGATCCAGGAAAGGGTGTAAGGCCCGTGTGGTGCTGGGGCGGGGGGGGAGGGGTGGCCTTGCACTAGAGACCGAACGTGTGATGAAAGCGCTGCCCGGGACGTGCTGCTGCCGTGAGGCGCCGGCCCTCCGGGGCCTCTCCCGCCACATCCTCACGCTGCGGCCCTGTAGTCCGCGGGGCCCTCCTCTTCTCACCTCACCTGGACCTGCCTGCACTCCTGCTGGTCCTCCCCGTGGACCCCTGAACCTGCCCCCGAGGGGTCCCATTCTGGACACTGGGAGAGCCGCCTAGTCACCCTCGGGGCGCACACGGGGTGCTCTGTAAGCTGCGGGCCGTGTCTCCTGCCAGGTGTGCCCACGACTACCCACCCACAGATGCCAGCACCCACCGGCCATCCCTCCCACCCACCAGTGCTGAGAGGCCTCCCTGCTGGCCCTGGGACAGAAGCCCCAGGAAGGCGGGGACCTGAGGTGGCCCTGCCAGCACTGGTGGCGAGGGCTGGACCAGTATGGGCGGGACCAATATGGGTGGGACCAGTATGGGCGGGACCAGTATGGGCTGGACCAGTATGGGCGGGACCAGTATGGGTGGGGCAGGAGCACAGCTGCACACACTGATGTCCAATTTCAACTCCAAACACACTGCACCCTGAGCCTCCCAGAGCATGTCACCTGGCCAGACGGACACAGGCATGTCTGGCTCAGTGTGCCCTGGTGAAAGCCTAAATGGCTTCCACTGGCCGGGCTGACCCTGTGATGGCCAGGCTGACCACGTGACGGCCGGGCTGACCCCGTGACGGCCAGGCTGACCACGTGACGGGCGAGCTGACCCCGTGACGGCCAGGCTGACCATGTGATGGCCATGTGGACAGAACCAGCCTCCCCAACGCCATACACATCATGCCCCCTGGATGGAGCCTGTCCCCCAGAGCTGGCAAGTTTCTCCTCCCTTCACGACAGCATCACCGCACACGGAGCCTGACCACCGCACGGTGTGGGAGGCAGCCAATCCTCTCAGAGCCCGCGTGCTTGCCATCCACGCTGGCGCTGGGCCCCACACACCCTCCCTTCCTGCCGGGAGCCGTCCCGATGTGGCGCTGCCCAGCCCTGGGCGCCGCGTGAGCCTGCTGGGACCACGGCTCCCCTCAAAGGCAGCAGGTGCTGGCGGAGGTCCCCTCCCTGCCC